CTTCGATGAGGGAATGGATACAGAGCTATACAACTGATCACAGAGCTGCCCTCCCGTCTTCTCAGTTAGTCCTTAAGCAGGTGTGGTGAAAGCTACTTAACACGGACGCCCTCAGACTCACTAAGCTTGGCGATGCTGTCTAAGTCTGCTGCATTCCAAGCCAGCAGTCCTCCTGGGTCTCACTTCTAGACCTGCGAACCAAGCCCACGGGTCTGGCTGGGTTTCAGACAGGCACTGTTCTGTCACGAGCTTTGTCACCCCACCTATGGCACAACCCATCGGGCCTTTGAGATGAGGAAACTGAGGCAGTGTAACTGTGTTCATGAATTTATTCACTTGAATCATGGGATCTTAGTTGGTTGGAGGGTTTGCCTACCATGCACGGAGCCCTCTGTTTGATTCCCAGCCCCTTAGAAAGCTGGGAGGGGATTTTAGACTGTGTGAGAGATGGTCAGTCCTAAGGAGAAAAAAAAAAAAGAAAATGACACGGAAAAGGGAAGCAGCTCCGAATCTGGTAAAGTAGCCACAGAATGCCAAGGGTGACTTTTGTTTAAAGATCTGGAACAAATTAGAAAAAGCCAAGAAGGTGAGCCAGGCAGTGGTAGCGTATGCCTTAATCCAAGCACTCAGAAGCAGAGGCAGGTGAATCTCTGGGTTCCAGGCCAGCCTGGGATATACAAAGAAACCCTGTCTTGAAAAACCAAAAAAAAAAAAAAAAAAAAGAAGAAGACCAGGACAGTAGGAAGAGTAAGTACACTTCAGGCTGAGGAATGGTGGGAGCTAAGGCCCTGGGGGTAGGAGGAAACAAGAAGACATATTCAGGAACATGGCAGCCAGGTATGGCTTAGACCTGGATCAAGGGAGGGAGTTGGGGACGGGGTGACAGCAGAGGATTAAAGGGGCCTCAGAGACATTAAGAAGGTTCTGTGCTGCCCTCTGAGGGAGGGGCCTATTGGAGGCATGGAGGAGGGCCCTGCTGGTTGATATGACAGATCTGAGCCATGATCAGCCATGTTGGGTGGCACCAACAGGATTTACGGTCAGCTGGGTTTAGGGTGTGAGAGGAGTACAGGTGGGTCCCTGCCGCTTCCTTTTCAGAGGGTGCAAGGACATGGGGTGCTTCCAGCTCAAGAACTTCTTCGTCTGGGGTAGAAGAGGGAAAACAAGGAGGGAGGGACCTCATAGATAAGGACAGGTAGCTGGCCAATCCCATGAGCACATGCACAAGGGACCTCACAGATAGACAGGTGGCAGGCTAATCCCACGAGTACATGAATGACCCTAAACAAAGGAGCAGTATCTGGGATAGAGCTGGCCCTCTTCTGAGAGATAGCCCTATCTTCTGCTTGCAACACATTTTTGCTGTTAGTCTCATGTAGCCCAGGGTGACCTTAGATTTGCTGTGTAGCCGAGCAGAAGATGACTTTGGAATTCTGATTCTCCAGCTCACACCTCTCCAGTGCTGGGACCGTGGGCATATACCAGCATGCCCGATTTGATGGTGGTGCTGGGGATCGAATTCAGGGCCTCCCTCATGCTTGCTAGTAGGCACTCTACCAACTATGCTACGACCCAGCCCACATTTAACACAGGTTTTCTAAAACAACTGTGTATGTGGATTTCTGCCCTAGTCCTCTGACAGGTACTCCCCTGGCATTTCAAGTCTATACCATTCTCTACAGTGCTGGGTATTTAGTGCTAGGCAAATACTGCCTCAGCATTACCTTGAAAAAATATGCAAGAGCTGGGATTGGTAGAGTGCATGACCAACATACAGGAGGCTCTGGGTTCGATCCCTTGCACTACATAAACTACGTACAGCAGGAAACACCTACAATGCTAGCATTAGGGAGGTTGAGGCAGGGGGATCAAAAGTTCAAGGTCATTCTCAGTTACATCTCTCTCTTGGTCAGCCTAGAACAGAGAAGACCCTGCTTAAAATGAATTAATTAAACACATCATTTAGAAGCCTCGAGATAGGAATGGAGTTGTCTTGAAAACTCAACCATAAGAAACTCAACTCCAAACTGTTCTGAAGCTGGCGGGGGGGAGGGGGTGCATCCCTGTAATCCCGGAACTCTGGAAGTAGAAGCAGGAAGATCAGGAATTCAAAACCGGCCAGGCTGTGATACATAAAATCCTATGTCAAAGAACAAAACAGCAGGTCCAAATTGTGAGTTTTAGTTTTTGAGTACAGAGTTGGGTTTGTTTTTTGTTGTTGTTGTTTTTGGTTTTGGTTTTTTTTTGGTTTTTGTTTTTCAGACAGGGGGTTTCTGTGCAGCCTTGGCTGTCCTGCACTTGCTTTGTAGACCAAGCTGGCCTTGAACTCATAGAGATCTGCCTGCCTTGGCCTCCCTGAGCACTGGAAACACAGGCATGAGACCATGCCCAGCTGAGTAGTTAGGAGTCAACTCAAGTCTGCTACTTGCCAATCAGATGTGACAGAACTGATATGCTATGACATGGTATTGGCCAATTCCTTTCTCCCTAAGAGACTCTAGCTCAGTCTGACCTGGAACTCAGTGCAATCCTCCAGTCTTAACCCATGCTAGGATTACAGGCTCGGAGAGCCCACAACTATTAGGCACTAGCTAATCTCCGTGTCCCTTTTCTGCTGATTGTGGCCAGATAACTATTTCTGGTCCACACCTCACTTTACCCAACCTGCCTTACTTCTACTATCTCCAACAGAGCAAAGGATGGGGCAACTGAAGAACCCCATGGAAATGAACAGCAGCAGGGAGGGGAGGGAGGAGCCAGCCCTCTTTCCCTCCCCTTCCACAAACCTACACTGTACTAGTACTGAAGTAAGGTTTGGCTCCATTGTCAGGGCAGGTTTATTATAGCAGTGTTAGCCTGGGCTAATTAATAGAGTGTATTGCCAAGGTGAGATTTGGTGTCACCTGGTTTATTGATCAAGGAAGAAACTGACAGGGAAGAAAAATGGAGATCCATGTCACCTGGAGAGACAGCTCAGCAGTTAAGAGCAATTGCTGTTTTTGCAGCTCACTGGATCCAGTTCCTACACCCACCAGCACCCACAGGCAGCTTACAATCATGGGTAACTATAGCTCCAGAGGGTTGGATGCCTTCCTCTGACCTCTGAGGGCACCAGGCATGTCTGTGGCATACTCACACATACATGTAGGCAAAATACTCATACACATAAATTCTAAAATTCAAAAAATAAGAGGGCAAAGCACATGGAAAAACTGTTTCCTGTAGCAAATTAGATATAAGCTCAAGTTCAAGGCCACAGGAAAAGCTGGAAAGTCAATGTTGGTGTGTGACTTGTAGGTCACAAGCATTTCTAACCGGTTGGTGCACACCTTTAATCCCAACACTCTAGAAGCAGAGGCAGGAGGATCTCTGTGAGTTCAAGGCCAGCCTGGTCTACATAATTCCAGGACTACACAGAGAAATCTTGTTTGAAAAAAAAAAAAAAATCAATTTCCTGGCTAGATATGCTGGTACATGCCTGTAATTTCCATGCTCAAGCTGCTTAGGCAGGTTTGAGGCCAGCTTGGGGTATATACCGAAATCCTCACTCAAAACCAAACAACAGCCTGGCGAGACAGCTCAGCAGTATTGTCATGAAGCTCAACAACCTGAGTTCTGTCCTTGGGGCCAACAGTGTGGAAAGAACAGGCTGCCACAAGACTCCCCCCGCTTTCCATATACATACCCTGGAATGCACACACACACCTTACAGAATAAATGTCATGAAAGAATTAAAGAGACCATACCCACCCCACACTCAAAGCAAACAAGTAGACTGTGACTTCACAGCCCCTCTTACAGGCTGACGTGGCCATGTGACCCAGTTCCAGCCAATGACATGAGCTCAGAAGTGACATGGCACCTGGTCTGACTTGAAATGACTACCAAGCCACCAGCATCTGGAAAAGGCACTTGGCATCTCATTTCCCTGAAACATTGATCTCATGTGTGTTTTGTTTTTCGAGACCGGGTTTCTCTGTGTAGTCTTGGCTGTCCTGGACTCCCTTTGTAGAGCAGGTTGGCCTCAAACTCACATTTCTGCCCGCCTCTGAGTGCTGGGATCACAGGCGTGCGCCACAGCACTCGGCTCCTGAGTGTGTTCTTTCTGTACCTTTTATGTATTAACCTGGTTGGTCTTTACTGTATCATTTTGTGTATGGCATGTGCATGTGAGGGTACATGTGGAAGACAGAGGTTCATACTCTGTCACTCTCCAAGTTCTCACTGACCTCAGCACCCACTAACTGGCCAGTCAGTCCGGTAAGGCAGTGAGCTCTGAAGTTGGCCTGCCATGGGAATCCTGGGGACCTGAATCTGGGCCTACATCCGTGTGAATCAGGCACTTTACCAATGGAGCCACCTCTTCAGCCTCTTGATCACCCTCATTTTACACAGGAAGAAACTGAATCTATTAAGTGGCAAGACTGGACCATTCGCAAGCAGCCTGGCTCTAGAGCAGTGCTTCCCAACCTCCCTAATGCTCAACCCTTTAATAGTTTCTCATGTTGTGGTGACCCTGTCATTGAAATTATTTTTGTTGCTACGTCATAAGTGTAATTTTGCTACTCTTATGAATCCCAATGTAAAAATGTTTTCCCCATAGTCTTAGACACTCCTGTCATTTGGCCCCAGAGGGTTTGAGACCTACAAGTTGAGAACCGTAGCTCTATCGGGAACTCACCCTGTAGAGCAGGCTCACCTTGAATTCGGAGCTCCAGCTGGCTCGAAGGGCCAGTTTTATTTAACATTGCACTCCACTGCCAGTGTTGTTTCTGCTACTGTGCACACAAAATGCTCACCTTACATCTACAGGGAACCAATTTTCAGCAACCTGGAAGTCAGTTTCATGGCTGTGCTCACTCCTTCCGGGTTCAGGCACACAGGCAATGTTGCCCCAGAATTTAAAGGGCCCAGTAAATTCTTTTAAAGGGCCAGGTTGTCAGAAACAAGGACTGGAATGAAGTAACATTTCAATTTAGAAGAAGCAGATCAAACAAAAGTCTTATGATAAAAACTTTATTGTCTTAAATATCAAAGGTTTTACACATCACGTCTTTTTCAGAAAGTTCCTATTAAAGAAGAAAAATAAAATAAAGTGTTTGGATTATTCAGGGCTGACTTACATTTCAAAGTGTGACAAAGAAAAAAAAAATCAAACTCAAAGGCATCTAGTGCGTTCAGCTGCAGGCAGGTCCTAACCAAAGTACAATGCGACCAGCTCTGGGATTCCTGAGTGCAGCTCTCTTAAGTTTTCAGAGTTTTCCCAACTCTCAAAGCATCTGGGCATGACTGGGCCACTGGCAAGCAGATTTTGCCAACCAGACTGGACCTCGAAAGATGTAATGTCAAAGCTCTAAGAAAAGCCAGAAAACCACATAATACTTGGGCAACTGCAGGAAGCAAAAGAGGGTTTCCCAGTTACGATCTGCCAGCCGTGGCTGGAAAACCAGTGAATGAACCTTTGCTGAAGGTTGAAGCCATCAGCCTAACTTGCCGGAAAAGAAGATGTGATACAAACGCACAAATAGTTTCTCATCGAAGGCGCAAGCAGAGCAGATTCCATCAACACAACTGATACCTTTGATGTCTCGACAGAACTACAGGAGGCCCAAGGCAGGGGAGACCAGAAGCCTAAGCACTGTACAATGGTATGGTGCCATGGTCTTTTCCAGGCCATAAGGTCTGCTTGAGGAATCTGTGAACACACATTTGGCTGGCTCCTGTTAGGAACAGGGATCTACTCTGCAGATCACAGACATACTCATTCAAGTTTGCGGGTTTCCGGCAACCAAACTCTTCTCAACAGGCCGAGGGGAAAATGTCCTTACTCAAATTAGCCAATCAAATCCTTAAGTTGCTTACTCAGAAATAACTCTGTAAGAAGCAATCCGATCTTCTGTTTCATGATATTTCCTGATTGGTGGTTCAAACTCTGCAGTTAAGGAAACTCCTGTGTTGAGCCATTTTCTTGGTAGATTTCCCTAGATGTTATCCTGAAACTTAGCAGCCTCCACATTTCACAAGCCCCTCCTCACTTCCGAGTCTAATTACTGATTAACTTCTGAGCATATTTCCTAAGTGTAAAGCTCAGAAATCACTAAGAACCTGCTTTCCTTCTACACTTAGGAATGCATACGTTGGGCTACCTTAAATGGAGGGTTGAAGAATGTTTTGTGGAGCTGGCAGAGTTCTGCAAAGTAACCCTGCCTGCCTGTCCCATTCATCACTCAACTACTCTTCCTGCTCTGGATTCCATTTCTACGCACTGCACTCAGCTGCCTTAAAATAGCACATCCTGCAGAGGCCTCTTAAGTTCTGCTCTCCCCAACAGCACTCCAGGGCAGCTGTGCCCAGCAGAGGATGGCGCACACCCGCCAATCTTAGTGTTGCACAGGTCCTGAAGAAAGGAGGTAACTCACTTCTCTCTTCCACTATCTGGACTTCTATCCTGCCTGTCCCTTTCTGGTCAATAGCATTCCACATCAATTCCTCAGCACCCTTTCAGCTCTACTAAATTCTTTATTTAAAATTCTTTTTTCTTTGCTGTGCTTTGGGGAGAGGGTGCTAAAACCCAGGGCCTTATACATGCCAGGAAAAGTTGTCCTACCACTGAGCTACAGCAGTAACTATCCTTCCACTTTCTTGGGAGACAGGGTTTCATGTAACCTAAGCTGGCCTGAAATTCACTATGTAGCCTAGAATGACCTTGAACTTCTGATCTCTTGACTCTACTTGCCCAGTGCTGGGGGCTTCTTGTAGCTCTGCAAACACCCTACCTCCCACTGCATCCACAGCGGTTGGTTTTATTTTTACTTATTTGAGATAGTTCCTCACTGTAGCCCTGACTGGCTTTGCGCTTATAGCTTAAAGGTATGTGCCACATTACCTCAAAACTGTAGAAAAAGGAAAAGAAAAAAAAAAAAAAAAAAAAAAAAAAGAAAGAGAGAAACAAAACCTTACCATTTTAAAGCCTAACTCTAGATTTACAGCATTTGATTCCATTGTGGGCTCGCTACCAAATATATGTTTAAAAATAAAAGCATGCTACCCAGACATTATAGAAGGTGTCTATGCGCTCACAACCCCAGCCACTTGAGGATCGCTAGCTCAAGGCCAGCTTGGGCTACAGGAAATCTCTTCTCAAAAACAAAAGCATGGCGGGGGGGGGGGGCATGCCAATAGGTAAAAACAGGTCTTAGTTAAAACTTGCCTCATGTTTCTCCTAGACTTGAAGGCCAGGCTCTGGTCTGGTTCAGCTGTTGCTCAACTCCTGGGCTTTAGGGGTACTCAATGTTTGATGAACAAATCGATGGGTTCTTGCTCATACTGCATAGCTTTGATGGGAGGAATGAACTTCCTATCAAGAACTAAGACTCGATCCCTCCCTATCATAGCACAAAATGTGCAACAGAAAACCCAAGAAACACCTAGAAACCACTTTTGGTACACAGGATGCAGAAACTCCTATCTGGGGAGACCTAATGTTTGATGTAGGGTAAGACTAAATTAAAGAGACAATGAGCCAAGGACCACACCCAGTGGCAAGCCCTCTCCAGGAGGGCTGGCCCAACCTTATCCCATACTCCCAAGATGTGATGCTTCTGCTATTCAAAATAATTAAGGCACAAAAAAAAAGCAAGTACATCAAAGGCTTGCCCTAAAGTCCTTACTGTGGCTCTACCAACACTAGGCGGGTTATGTAACTCATAGGGGCTCAGTAGCAGCCCTCAGGGAATGCAGGAAACACAAAATGCTATATTTTGTTAACTAATTAGACACCATCATCCTCCAGGAGGAAAATTATGATAGCTGCTGTCTTTCTAGCCAGTCACACACTCCACTAAACCCCAAGACTAGCTTGCACTAGTTTTTGGTGGTAAGGATCAAATCCGGGACCTCACACACTATGTAGAAGCGTTACCCAGCCACATTCCCAAAGCCCTGTGGTATTGCTAGTGATACACCAGTCAGTTCAGCCACATTGTTCATGCTCACCACAGGTAGCAATCTGAACACACTGAGTGAGCTGGGCAAGGTGGCATGCACCTATAACCCTAGCGTTCTAGAGGTTGAGGCAGGAGAATTGCCATGAGTTTGAGGCCAGCCTGGGCTATGGCAAGATCCTGTCTCCAAAAAAATAACCCACAAAACAATAAAGGAAAATTTGCCTTGACACTCTTGCACAGCTATTTGCAAGGCAGTTTATTATATACATAGTAGGAGGAAAAGCCACCAGACGTGCAGACATCTGTAGACATTAAAAGCTGCTTTCCAACCTATGTAAAGTATTTATCAATAACCTTATATTTGAGATAGCTTACATATTTATTTATAGACATGAGCTGAAAAGTTGAAACAAATTCTTATGGCTTTCACTAGAAATAGAAAGCTGTAGAGAGGGACTAACAAACAAATGCTACACAAACTAGTCATAAAAGCCATGATGCCAGGTACCCTATCCCATTCCTAGGCGCCCTCTTGCCAGAGAAATGCTTTGGATAGATACAGTGAGCCTTGTCTTCCTTTCCCTGCATGGAGAGATGCTCAGAGGGAGCCGGCTTTGACGCCGAAGTTCTCACACAGTGCTCACCATCTACTTAAACTTCCTTTGCCAAGCAACATCTACCTACAGCCCAGAGTGCCAGGGAAAGGCTCTGGCTGTGTAGGGGCCTCAACTAGCTCATCTGGAACTGGCCAGGTCTCCAGGTGCGGTCACAGTGTCTGGCTACTAAGCCCTGCACAACACACCAGCTTCAGCATGAGTTTTACAAGAAAATCCTCTTTGGTGCATAAATGAAGAAAACTACTGCAGGGAAGGGCCGACCGACCACCTCCTCACAGGGTTCGGTGAAGGAGTCGCCCCATGCTGTTATGGCTGTAATCACCTACTGAACTCTCGGCTTCCCTACGAGGTGATCTTACTCCTGTAATTATCGACTAAATGAAAGCTGACAATGAGAGTCCACTAGTATGCTGTTCCTTAATGTCCTCTGTTCTGGAATTGCTCAATTTAAGCCAATCCGTTCCTAACTTTACACAAGTGTTAGACAAAAGATTGTTTTGTAGACAGAACATCACTAATATACCTCTGGCTGGTCTTGAACTCAGAGATCTGCCTGCCTTTTAAGATTAAAGGTATGCCAGCATGCCTGGCCTTTTATTTATTGTTTGACAGATTTTAAAAATCAAAAGCAACTATATGTTGAAAATAAAACCCAAAGGAAAAAATATTTGGCAAGTGAGTCAAACTCATTCCAAGTATTCCTAAAAAGAGTATTTGTGTAACTACTGGCCTATCCATTTGCTTCTAAAAATAAACATACAAGTACATACATTAAAAGCTATCGTAATGCAATCTTTTTCAGACTGGTATTCTACACTCCACCTAGGGCTGTCTCCCAAACATCCACACCATCAAGTCAGAGCTGCACCACTGGGCATGGATGCCACCACTTCTGCTCACACATTAGACAGTCTTCTGGGAAGAGTCAGTGCTTTCTTCTACCTACCCCAACTTGTGGCCCTAAAGATTTGTGACCCTAAAATACAGCCCAGCCCGTCCCCCTAAAGCAAATACCAGGTCTCAGTGTACAGCTATGTGGTCTTGTTTCAGTCCCAGCTGAGTTGGTGACAGAACCCTGTGGGCAGTTTCCTAGTGTACCACGCATGCATCTTTGGTGTAGGATAGGTAAAGGGTGGACAAGCTCTTCGTCCGAGACAAAGAACTTCTCAAAGATAACTCGAATAGCCTGATGTTCTGAGTGCCCAACGGAGAGCAGGAAACCACAAGGCCTCCAGCAACGATTTCCTAATTCCAGAAAGGATCATGATACTCCATGTGACTTGCCATTATGTCACTGAAGAGAGTCTCGGCACACAAACAATATGGCAAAAAGAAATGGACCAGAGAACAGAAATCCCTGTAAGTGCCCCTAAAGTTTCAAAAACTCCTGAGATATGAACCCATCTGTGCTTGATGACTTCAATTTTAATGGAAAGAACAAGCTTTAAGAGAGACAGACACACACACACACACACACACACACAGAGAGAGAGAGAGAGAGAGAGAGAGATTGACTTTAGACAAAAATCAGTCAATGCTAAGTTCAAAAAATCAATTTCAACAAACTGCAAACTCTCACCTGGAACCAGGAATTATCTTCAAAATCTTTTTCAAGAAACTTAAGATTAAAGATTCCTGCCAGACACCTAAGACAACAGTTTATGTTCCAGGAAAGGATGCTTTCAAACCTGTCTGGAGGGATTATTGCACAGTGGGGCCCACAGGACAGCAATTTGAAAGGTGAGAGCTTATGCTAAAAAGGCCACAATAAACATATCTACACATCCTGCCCCACTCTTAATTCAATGTGGTAAACACAAACATAGATCCTGCTTAGAAAAGAAACTCCTGAGGAAAGAAAGGGATGAAAACTGTACCAAGGCCACTGTAGTCAGAACTTTAGTTGTATTTTCACTGTCATGAAGGACACTCACAGACTGACCAATCCAAGCACCAAGAGGAACAGGGACAAAGGCTCTCCCACCTCACTGTCTTGCTCAGCTCAGAGCTCAGACTGAGCATGGGACAAACTTCTTAGCAGATAAGTTTAGAAAGTCAGTAGGCTCCTGGCAGCCAACCCATGAACTAAACCTGGACTCATCATTTGCCACAGAGAGTTGGGGTGTCAGTGAGATGCCCTCACACCTTATCTCCAGTACATTCCAGTGTTTTGTCTAAGATTATCTTTTACTCACAGTCCTTGACATTTAAAAATGGAATTATGATCAGGGTTTTTTCCCCTTCCCTTTTTAAATACAAGTAGCACCAGGTTTCACTCTAGCGTGAATCCCCCACACCCCACCCACCATCATGAAGTATTTGGCAATCAATCCATGCAGCAGCCTATGATACATAAGACAGCCCAAGTTTTAAGCCCTCCCGGTCACCCTATTTAAATGTTAACCCTGAGCACACAAATAAAAACATACAACTCCAGAAGTCACGGAATTTCTCTCCAGTTTCCTGTCGCAAGCCACATTCTGCACATAGCACAGCCAGAGCCATAGTGGGCAGCTGATTTGTTCCTAGCTGCACAGGTGGCAGGCTCCTCATGGCTCCTGCTTTCAAAGCATTCACTCATTTTTAAAATGTTATGCTATACACAAAACCATCCATTTTATTCCAGGTTACATCATCTTAATGAGAATTAAAAGCTTTTGTATGCACAGACTGCCAATACATTTTAAAAGGCCCAAATTTCAACAAGTAAAATAGACAAATTCATCAGACAAAAGAGCATAAATTACTTTGGCTGAAAAAAAAAATCTGGCTCAACATTTTGCTTGCAGGTTTCTACATATACTGTGTGTGTGGTGAGTGTGTTTGTGTGAAGGGCTTTCTGAGGGACTGGAACACGGTCTGGCCCACTCTCCCACAATTACGTGGGGACTACAATGTTCTTTGCCAGCAAAGCAAGAAGCGCAAGGTCTGCATTCCCACCAACTCGATGAAGAGCCCCGAGGGCTTCCTGCAGAGTGAAGCCGGCACCAAGAATCCTGTCAACATCTGCAGCAGGAAAGATGAAGGGTGGAAGAACGGAGGGAGGAGATGAGGGCTGTGTGGCAGATGGGTCCAATCCATGGAGGGGCAGCACTGCTCCAGGGCTGGTCTCCGGCCTGTCTGTGCCTAAATTCTGCACATGTTCAGAAGGCTGACTATGGGCACCCTCCCCACCTGCTGCAAGTTTGGGTGAAATTTCTACACCTGAGGTGCAATGCAACTGATCAGATGGTTTAGCTGTGGTTATGGCGACAGAACAGCTCTTCCGAACTGACTCAGTTGATCTGGGAACATCTTCTCTGCCAGTTGACAAGCCATCACCCAGACCTCTGAAGCTAGTGGATGCTTCTTCTTCTACCCCAGCCCCAGTACAAGGTGTGGTGCCTGTGATTTCTGTCTTTTCTGATTCAGAGGTGTCCTGAAGACAGGAGACTTGTGGGTACTGGTCACTGGGGATCAGATGCTCTCTTTGGGCCCTCCTTCCTGAAAGGTCCAAAATGCTTGTTTGGCTCTCAGCTCCTGTCTCTGACCGACAGGCAGCATCTTCAGGTGGACCTTCTGAAGTTGGCTTACAGCTAATGACCAGAAGCTCATGCAGTTCTTTCAAGGCCACTGTGACGGATGGACAAAATTCTTCTGCTGATTCCACAGAGGGCTGACCATGGCTACTTAGAGGGGAAGAGGAACTGCCATTTTTTTTATTCATTGTAGACATTTCAATGTTATCTTCTGGGGGCTGCAAATCCTGTGTTGAGATGGAGTGTTCCACACGTTCACAGGAGGGGTTACACTGTGATGTTTCCATTTCTATCCAGGGATTATCTGAAGTGGGATGTGATACATCAGGGCTCTTGATGATAGTATTCTGCCTGCCTGTTGAACTGCACACAGCAACCAGAGAGTGTTCAACCGTCTCTACTTCCATCAGGGTTTCTGAGCATGAGCAGCTGCAGTGTCCTGAAGCCAGAAGATTTTCCTCTGCACTTGCAAGATGAGTATTTGTCTGTAGTTCATCTCCTTTCAACACAGCTTCCAAATTGACAATATCTTCTTGGTCCTGTTCATTTTCCTCTTGAAGCTCAAGGTCTTCCGTGTCACAGAGACATACCTGGTCATGTGGAGCACTCTGCTGTCCAACCTCACACTGCACATTCCCTGCCTCTCTGTGCTGAAGGCCATTTACTTGGCTTGGGTTCAGATTTTCTGAAAGCCAACTCTTTTCCTCCACAAATACCTGTGGCTCATGCATCCCAGTAGTTGTGAGAGATAAACTAGCGTCCTGTCTCGTGTGGAGATAAACTCTGAGGTCCTGCGTTCTTCTTTCAGCAGATTTCTCCACACTGCCTGCAACAAATGCTTCTTCAGGTGAATTATGCAAAGGCATAGCTGGACTCTGGTCTGCTGAGGAAGCAAGATCAAGAAGATCCTGTAGAGGAGGAGAAGGATCTGTTTTCTTAGAGTCTGTCTGGAATTCAGCTGAAGCCTTCATAGCCTCCATAGCTATAGACTCAATGCTATTGGGGTCACTGGGCTTGATGGCGCAGACTGAAGCAGAGACAGAGCGAGCAAGACTCGTAGGGCTGCCAACCTCAGGACTCAGCCCTGAAGAAGGGGCTGGATGGTTGAATCCATCTGAAGTTGGCAATGATGACATTCCCAGTGAGGTAGATTCTTTACTGCTTTTCTCTATAATAAAATATAATAAAGGAAAAAAAAAAAAAGAGTAGTTAGCAGACCACTAACTCATCAGAGAATGAAAGTCTCAACAGAATTAAAAACAGGTCTTTCAATTCACATCTCTCTTGCAAACATGAGGTTTAAAAAAATACAAGACTCTTTCTCATTGTGTTAGACAAGTGGCATCTGCCATTGAACCTGAGACGGTCATGTCCTTAATAAAGGTTATTAAAGTACACATGTAAGAAAGCACTGTTAACATGCACTTCGTAACTGCTGGGTCAATGTTCACACTTGAAAGACACTTACTGATGTAACTTTTGATTTCAGACAAGGTCTTACTAGACAGACTCCTGCCCCAGATTCTAGACTGCTGGACTGTGTGGGAGTATATTGTCACGTTGAGCACCTACACATCTTTATTTCTGTTGAATTTTTGTATCTTCACTGGATGATTCTCAGACAAGGCTTGCTTTCTCTCTCTCTCCTTTTTAAATACCAGATTCTCACTCTGTAGTCTAGGCTGGCCAACTCACTACAGCATACCCAGATTTGCCTTGAACCATCAGTGATTCTTGCATATCAGCATTCTGAGTGCTGGGATTACAGCATGGGGCACTGCATGGATCCAGTGTGTTTTCTCATGTTTCAAGTGTGAGCACAGGGTGAAGTCCAAAAGCAAGCATGCTGGGGACAGAGTGGGCAACCAAAAGAGATGGAGTTTACATGCCAGGAGATCTCCAGATGATAGAGAAGAAAAACAGCGCATTTTATTTCTAGCCACGCTTCTACAAAACCATGGCAAAACTAAGCACCCAACTCAAAAAACAAGAAACCTAAAAATGAAGCAGACAGAATTTTACTTGATCAGTCATTGTAACTATTCATTTTTGAGCAAGATTTCATGTATACCAGGCTGGCCTCTAACTTGATCTGTAAGGATGATGCCTCCCAGTGCCAGAATTATGGGTGTTCATCACTGTTCCCAGTTTATGTAGTGCTGTAGAACAAACAAACCCAGGCTTTGTGTGTGCCAGGCAGGCACTCTACTAATCCGACTATACCTCTAGCCCTGTAGTTTCTGTCCTGCCTGAAACTTGTGGCATTCCTGCTTCAGTCTGAGTGTTGGGATTACAATATAAACCATCATGCCTAGCTTCCAAACACTCCAATATAGTAGACCAAAATTAACAAGATTTCAGTGCTTTGCTGAATACAGTAGAGGGAGGGTGAAGGAACAGTGTAGTAGGTTTTTGATAGGCAACAATAACTCAGATTTGTCGTAATTCGACACCTCTTGAAACATGATCATGGGCTCAAACACTAGTTCAAGGCAGAAGCCACAATGGTTCAGCTCCTTCTGGCACCATTACAAACTGGCCTCTAAATAACCATATCTTTATTTAAATGGCAAAGACTGCTATCAAGACGGGAAACAATTGGCTCCTGGGTTAAATTCAACTGAGGGCTGGATGTCCACTCCTGAAGACGTGCAGAGCGCAGTGATGATGCAATCAACCTGACACTAATCAGACAGCATGAGAGGATGAGAGATTTTGGCTTTTCTTTTTGGGGTTCAGACAGGGTCTCATGTAGTCTAGACCGTTCTGTTTGTTTTTTTGAGACAGGGCTTCTCTGTGTAGCCTTGGCTGTCCTGGAACTTGCTCTATAGACAAGGCAGGGTTTGAACTCAGAGATCTGCCTCCCTCTGCCTCCTGAGTGCTGAGTGCCACCACCTCTAGGCAGGCATTTCTTAAGGAACTACCTTATCATACAGTTTAGTGTCAAACAGAATAATGGTTTTGTCTTACTTAAAACTACACTTCCTAAATTTAGAAAGTTCTTAGTTTTATCAATCTCATCAATAAAGCTGACTTTGAAAGAAGTTCAATTTTGGACTAATGCTAACATATAGAATAACCATGTCAGCACCATGGGAAAACATGTACCATCTGGGTCCAGTGTCAAGCACCTACACACCCCAAAAAAGCAGGAGAGGTGAGAGTGAAGGTAAGCCTTCGTGGACTTTGTACTTAATATTGGAGCAGCATATATGTCTGAAACTGAAAGAGCTAGTACCATAGGGGATTAGAAAAAGAGGCTAATGGACATTAACTATATCTATTGCCTAACGTCCTAAAGATGAGACAGAGGGAGGATGAAATGCTAGAGTCTAATTACAACCAGCCTCCAATCCCTTATAAAAGCTCTTCATCAGATGAAATCATTCACTGTACCCTGATAACATTTTTATGTTTTTAAATACAGAGTTTCACTATACAGTCCAGCCTGTTTCAAACCTTGAATCCTCTTGCCTCAACTTCCCAAGAAGGGTGATGGCAAGAATGCATCACCATGCCCAGACTACCTATCACTAACTATAATTCGGTATAAGTCATATGGCTTATTTTTCCAGACAAAAGTTTGCCCTTCTATAAACTTCCAACATACGAGGATTTCCAGCTTTCCAAAGGTAAATGGCTTAAGAAATTCAGTTATCTGTAACAAACTGCTGTGATTCCAATAGTCTTGATTCAGTATTTTCAACTGGCAGAGGTAGAAGGTAAATGAATACTTTTTACTAAGACTTTCCCCTGGGCTGTTCCCATAACCGATAAAATTTACAAGAATTTATGCCTATATGTATATATGGCAACATACATACGTAAGTGTATATACAGGCTAGTTGTAACCAGATTGAGCCAGGAGAAACAGAGACTGCAAGTCTTAAATTTCTAGGATGGTTCCAGACAGAGATTGTTCAAAGCACAGGCGACGACTGGATGGAAGGTTAATGTGGAGTCTATAAATACCTGGTCTGGGGCCCACTCCAGCTGCAGTACACACACACTACATGCATCATGGCTTCTGACGTTCTGTTTGGATTAGGAAACAGACAAGCAAACGTGGGTTAACAATGCAAAACCACACAGCATGCAGGGCTGCAGTCTTCATTCCTTCTCATCCGTAAAACCAGGAGCTAGGAGTCAAAATCGAAGAGGTTCCACAGCTTGGGCATCCCAAAGACTTGCTGGTTGCTTCAGTTCTCTCCAAATGCAACCAGCAAGGTTTCTACATCAACTTTTTTTTTTTTTTTTTTTTTTTTTTTTTTTTTTGAGACACAGTTGCTCTTGTGTAGCCTTGGCTGTCCTGGAACTCACTCTGTAGACCAGGCTGGCCTCAAACTCACAGAGATCCACCTGTCTCTGCCTTCCAAGTGCTGGGATTAAAGGCATGTGTCACCACGCCTGGCAAGTCAACAAATATTTTAACTGTACCCAAGAAGAAATTATTCCACAACTCTGCACAGATGTTGGAGACAAATATGCTGTAGGCAGAATCAATCCATCAAAGGAGCTGCTCAAAGACCACTCTACAAAGTTAGTGAATAGTGTGGTAGCTTTCCAAATTTCCCAATAGTCTTATTTGTTGCTTGTTTTTGAGACAAGGTCTTGCTATGTAGACCAGACTGGCCTACAAGTTGACATATTGAGTGTGGGGCTTATAGGCAGGTGCCACCGCACCTAACTCACATTCATATTTTTTTTTCTTCCTTCCTTTCTTTTGTTTTCTTTCCTTTCTACTTTGGTTTTTCAAGACAGTTTCTCTGTGCAGCCCTGGCTATTCTGGAACTCACTCGTAGACCAGGTTGGCTTCAAACTCAGAAGCCTCTGCCTCCTGAGTACTGGGATTACAGGTGTGTGCTACCACCAACCAACTCAAGGTTCATTTTCTGAAGAAGAAAAGCCAGGTCTGACTAATTGCCGCCTGCTGTCTTCTCCTTCAGTTAACCACCACACAGACGTTAGGATAGCACTCCTACTGATTTCAGACAAATACCCTCATAATTAGCTAAAGAAATATTTTCCTGAAAGTACTGTCACATATCATCTCCAGAATTGTGTACTTTTAATGACCCCAAGCAGTCAGTCCCCCAAATAATAAAATTAATGTTGTAGAATCATCATACCATTAAAACATTACAAAAACAAACAAAAAAATCAGCAAAAGTCCCACATGTCAGCAGCAAGGTTCCATGGATAAACTGGCCAGTCCCTTTGCTGATCCTGAAAAATGTGTCACCTACTTTAGCTGCTTGAACTTTATTTGAGAGGCCCATGTCAGGAGGCTGTTACTGGGTTAGGAACACTGTTGCCATCAGCTTAGTGTTTCTCTAATCACAGCCCATGGCTGTGCAAGGGGAAGACACCTCAAAAAGTCAGCACCCCGACTAAGCTGCCAAATTATATTCCATAGGCTAAGGACGTGATTGAGTTCACACTGAACTTACAGGAAGACTAAAATGATTGCTGGTAATTCAAACCTCTCCCTCTTTAAAAAAAAAACAAAAAAACAAAAAAAACCAAAAAACACCTCAGTTTCAACAACAAGCCCCAGTCTACACAGAGTAAAACATGACCCCAGGGAGCACTGTGACCAAGGCCAACCTAGAAGCTACATTGGCTACTCGTTCCTATTCCAGAGGTTCAAGGCAACACAGCTATGGATTCTCCAGGACATACCAAAACCTTGTAGTTCACTTTTGAATGTACTATCTTTTCTCTTAAGGAGAAAACTATCCCATGAGCTTGTAATCTAAGACACTTGACCAGAAAAAGCAAAGTGAGACCAGCACATTGATGAATAATCCTGACCCAAGACTCCAAAATAACTCACTTAAAAAGTTAATTCTTTTCCGTTTTTAGAAAATGCTCCCCAGAGTCACTGTTCTGTAACAGGTGAGGGATTTCAGCAAAGCTGTCTTGATCCATTTTTCTCAGAGGACTTTGTTCTGTCCTCAGACTGAGGTGTTAAGGGAGCTTGCTTTCAGAGGCACTGCTGCCTCAGAGACCACAACTACTACATTTGATTAATCCAAGATTATATTCATCACTGGTTCTTCTCTTTGAGGACAGCACTTTCCGTAAATGTTTTTACTGTGTAGTCACAGCGATAGTGCATTCCTTCAAATGAATAAACAGGCTGAGAAAATGAAACACATTTCCAGGAAAATACTGCTGATCTCGAAAGTATATGCTTACTGTAGAGTTTTCTTTATGGATAAAACAGGATGTTTTAGAAGCATCCAAGCAAGTAATGACCTAATCTCGAACATGGCAATGATTCTTACTCCTCTCATTTTTTTGTTTGTTTGGGTTTTTGTTGTTGTTGTTGTTTTTTCAGAAACAGGGTCTCACTGTGTAGTCCAGCTGGCTGGGAACTTACTCTGCAGGGCACCCTGACCTGAAGTCACAGAGACCCACTTTGCCTTTGGCTCTTTTCTTTTTTTGGTTTTTCGAGACAGGGTTTCTCTGTGTAGCCTTGGCTGTCCTGAACTTGCGTTGTAGAGCAGGCTGGCCTCAAACTCACACAGATATGCCTTCCTCTGCTTCCCTAAGTGCTGAGATTACAGATGTGTGCGACCATATCCAGCCTTGCCTTGGCCTCTTGAGTGCCAGGATTAAGGTGTGTGCCACCATTCCAGGCTCCTCAAGTTTGACAGAGTATGGCTACATGGTCCAAACCAGCCTGGAACTCAATGCTCAGCCTAAGCTGGGCCTAAACTTGTAATCCTTCTGCTCCGGTCTTGGAGTGTTGGCTATGCTAGGTATGTCCCATTATACCTAGGTACTTTTTTCTTGATCTGTTCAAATAGAAGTCCTTCAAAGTTTCTTATTATGATGGTATGTGAGGGCACACCTAGGTCAGAGGGTAACTGTAGAGTTGGTGCTGTTCTTCCACCTTTACAGGCTCTGGTTTCTAGGCTTCTGTAGTAAGTGGCTTTACCTGCTGTGCCGTGGCAATGCAACCCCCTGCCCCACCCTCTCTCCTCCTTTTTGATACAGGGTCTCAAATATTCCAAGCTAACCTTGCATTCCAACCAAACCTCCAGAGTGCTGGAATTCCAGGTGCATATCACCACACAAACTTATGCAGCACTAGGGGCTGAATCCAGTGTTTCACCTGTGCTAGGCAAATATTCTACTATTGAGCTACATTTCAGTCCATGAGTTTCTCATCATGGTATTGAGAGATAGAAGGAAAAGGTAAAAGATAGTGAACATATCTACTGCTGAACAATGGAGCTAATTCTAAACTAGAAAGTTACCTCACTAAAAGCACAGCATTATTCAAATGCTCAGTCCCAGTACCTGCATCCTCTGCTGATTTTTGAATGGCTTCTGCTAATTCTTGGTCTGCAATCTCCTCTGGCCGTATGTCTTCTCGCCCAGTTCCATATGCCAAGCGGGCACACTCTGGTAACTCCCCTTCAGGAAGGAAGGTGGTCTGTGAGCCTGTGGTGCCAATCACCAGTACATTTTTCTTCAAGTCAATAGAACACTTTGGAAGAAGAAAGCAAAGAACAGTGGGTGAAGCATCCTACAGAAAAATCAATTCTTAGTTCTACATTCAGCCAATAAAGAACACTTCTAGGAAGAGATGACTTAAAAATAAAAACAAACAGAACCTTACCATATACCCAAAAGCATCAATTTTCTACTTCTGGTTTTTAGATAGTCTTGCTATGTGATCCAGGATGGCCTTGAACTCACTTTGTAGCCTAAGACAACCTCCGACTTGCCCTCCTGCCTGTCTCCAGAGTGTGCTACTACATCTCCTTAGAATTTTTCTGATTTTAGAGATAGACCCTGAACTCAGCATGTAGCTTAGGCTAGCCTTGAACTTGTTTTCCTTTTTTAAAGATTTTATCTATTTGTTTATTTTATGTATGTGAATGCTCTATCTACATGTACACCTGCATGGCAGAGAGGGTATCAGATCCCTGGATAGATAGTTGTGAGCCACCATGTGGCTGCTGGAAATTAAACTCAGACCTCTGGAAAAGCAAACAGTGCCCTGGCCTTGAACTTCTGATCCTTGTCTCTATTTGATCTCTTGTTTTTGATGTTTTACTGTGTACTCCAGGCCAGCTGGCTCATGAGCTTTTAGGCAACTGTCTCCACATCCTACCTTGGGGTAGGAGCGCTAAGACTACAGATGACACTACAACCATCAAGGGTTCTGGGGATCAAGTATGGGTCATCAGGCTCGCACAGCCACTGCAGATAACAGCACTTTATCTGCCCATTGCATGTCCCTACCCTTCTTTGCTTTGCTTTGTTTGGAGATAGGGTCGACAGCCTAAACTATCCTCCATCTCTTGATCCATCTGCTTGAGGCCCCAAAGAGCGGGGATTACAGGTGTGGGCCACATGGCCACTTTACTTATTTACAATATCCCTTTCTGTGTGTTTTTATTTCTATTTAAGAAATGACAGTTGCTCACGTATGAGATTTATGTCCGTAAAGTTATAAAATACCAGTGTAAGCTAAACAACAGCAAGACAGTGACAAATTTATAACTTGGCTTCATTTATACAAACATATACTCACTCCCTCTATTTACAGTGCTAAATTAATATAATACACATTATTTTTCAAGACTTTTTTTAGGCACCTGAATGTAGAGCCTTTCACACACGAGGCAAGTGCTCTTCCACTGAGTACACCCTCAGGTTGAATACTTAAAATACAGTGGTAGTGGTGGTACATGCCTTTAATCCCAGCACTCAAGGAAGCAGAGGCAGAAACAGGTGGATCTCTGTGAGTCTGAGGCCAGCCTGATCCACAAAGTGAGTCCAAGGCTACACAGAGAAACCCTGTTTGGAAAAACAAACAAAAAAAGCATGAAGGTTCTGACTTTACATAAAATCCCACAGTGGGACTCAGGCTGTACTCAGTGGTATTTCATTACCCAGAAGACACTAAGCAATGTTCTTCGATGTCACAGATCTCAGTCTTTACATGAGAATGTATCATCACCAATTAATGTACTGTCAGATAATTTTCCCTGTAAGAACAAAGTACTTCCATTCTCCAGACTTTTAACCTCAAGATCCCTTCTTACTGTTCGATCTAAGAAAAAGACGTAGCAAACATCTGCATCTGCAGGAAACCATCAAAAAACTCTTGACTTTTAATCAGAATCTTAAAATTGCTCAACTTCATAAAACTGCTGGGGCTAGAGCAATGGCTTAGTTATGGTTAGGAGTACTTGACTCTTACAGCTCCGCAACAAGGCGACTCCACATCTCCCTTCAGGGATAAGGGAACCCCGTGAAAGAGGAGAGAAAACAAGAGTGTAAGAGCCCGAGGGGATGGACGCCCTCCACAGCAACATGATCAAAGCTCACATGAACTCAGAGACCGAGGCAGCATGCACAGGGCCTACACAGGTGCACGCTAGGTCGTTTGTGTATTATAGCTTGTTTGTATGGGATTCCTGAGTGTGTGAACCAGTGGATCTGTTTCTTGTGCCTTCTCTTTCTGTTTGTTTTGTCCAATTCTTGTTTTATCATATATCTTATCATAATTCCTTAGAAGCCTGTTTATTTTCTAATGAGAGACACAAGGTAGATCTGGACAAGAAGGAAGATGAGAAGGAACTGGGGGGAGTAAAGAAAAACCATAATCAGGATATATTTTGTGAGAAAAAAAAAAAACATTAAAAAAAAAAACCCAAAAAGAAAAACAAAACCACACTTGTTCTTACAGAGAAGCTTGTATTTCCAGCACCCACATGGTGATTCATAACCATATACACTTTAGTTCCAGGGGATCCAATGCTCTTTTCTTACCTTCAAGTGCACCAGGTATGCATGTGGCACACACACAGAAATTCTTACAAACAGAATACACATAAAATAAAATTTACTTTTTTCAGATTAAAAAAATAACTGCTTATTATAATGTCAAAACAGACAAGATTTAACTTATCACTAGAGGTTTTACAAGGAGAGAGATCTGTGTTGTTCTGGGACACAGTTTCTCTGAGTAGCCTTGGCTGTTCTGGGAACTCACTCTGTAGACCAGGTTGGCTTTGAACTCAAGAGACCTGCCTGACTCTGTCTCTCAAGTGCTGGGATTAAAGGCTGGTACCACCATAGCCCAGCTTATATTGTTTTGAGACAGCATTTCATTATGTAGCTCTGGCTGGCCTCAAAGATGCCTGGCACCTCTTTATTCCAAGTGCTTGGATTAAGGCATGCACCACCGCATCCAGCTGCCAGACTCTGTTTGTAATGACAAATCATTTCAACTCTGTCTGATGACAGAATCTACCAAGGACATGGTAGATTTCCATGGTTCTTAGTTTGTCATTACATACAACAGAACTGATATGAATACCAAAGACACAGCAAAAGTGGTGGACTCAGGTATGATGGTACACACCTATAATCCCAGGTACAAGAGGCAGAGAGAAGAGTATCACTCCAAGTTTGAGGCAGCCTGCTTTGCACAGTGAGCTCCAGGACAGTCAGGGCTACATAACAAAACCTTCACTAAAAAACAACAACAAGCACAACAAAACACAAACCAAAAAACACAGGCTAGGGAGTGATGGGATGCTGTCTTGCTTGGTAACGTGTTTGCTGTGCAGGCATGAGGACCTAAGTTTGGATTTTCCCAACATTCATGTAAAAAGCTTGGTGCAACAGTGTATATTTATAACCTTAGCACTGGGGAAGTAGGCAAAGGAAGATCCCTAGAGTTGCCACCCAGCCAATCTAGCCAAATTCGTAAATTCTAGGTTCAGTGAAAGACATTCTCTAAACAAATAAGATACAGACTGACCAAGGAAGAACCTGTTGTCAACCTCTGTCCTCCATGCACATGTGTGCCCATGTATGTATAGACACATAGAAAAGCTCTTAATTACCTGATGCCGTTTAAGCATGTCCAGTCCCAGAAGCATGTCCATAGGCTGTTCTTCAAGAATTGAGAAGGAACACGCCAGGAAATCGCCTTCAATCTGAACCTGAGCTAAAGCACAAGAAGAGAAGATATTACTGATGTCGGCTCCACGAGCCCAGGGCAAGCTGTGGAAATGAACTCATCATTCTGTGCCTGGAACCAGTCAAGAACAGGAAGGCACAACAAGCGAAGAGGCTACAAAGCAGATGAAGTGGACGGGGCAGAGCCACTGTTCTGAATGCTGTTGGGACCCAAGCTCAGCTGGTGAAGAAAGCAAGTGTTATGAGGATTAAACACACACACACACACACACACACACACACACACACACACACACACA